GGAGAGAGGATTTTAGGACTCTTTTATGGCAAACTTTTATGGCAAACCTTTTGACAGAGAGGAGTTGGCTTACTTCCTTTAACTATTGAAGGTGGTCGGGGTTTTCTTTCCTGTTTTTTTAAAAAAATCCTGTTTCTGCTATTTTGCAAAAAGTCTCACAGCTGGGAGGGCATCTGTGGGCTTTTGGCAGGGCTGCCTTTTCTGAACTGTGTCAGCTAGTCCAGGAAGGGAAAGAGTGACTGAATGGTGTAGGTGGGGAAATACAAAATATGGTCCGCCATGAGGCAACAAGCTGAACTCCCCCCTAAAATCATGAAGCTTCTTTTCTGCCCTCGCCTTCCCAATACACAATTTACTGAAGAAAGCTAAGGTGAAAAGAGTGGTCAATCACAAGCGTAAAGTCACTAATTCTCCAGCATAGGCCTTTGAGCAAGGAGGTGCTCTTGTGGCATTTCCACACCTCTATGAAATCCCAACTTGGAGGCTTTTCGGGAGTTACTGAAAATGGCCTCTTCTGCGTTGAAGATTTGGGTTGGTTGTGACATTCCACGTTTCATCTCATTTGAGAACTTAAGAAAACCCCCAAATTGGTGTTGTTTGTCTGCTGGCTTCTTTGTGCTGCAGTGAGCATGTACAGAGCAGTGGCAGAGCTACCTGCTCTGGCACCGGGAGCGGCTTACGTGAGGGCATGGCTGGTGCGCATCCCAGGGGGCGTGGAGAGGGGCTCACGGCCTGGGTGTGAGTGGTGTCACCCCCCCCCCCCGGGATTGCACCTCTGGCGGGCCGCTCCCTACACACCCACCTTCCTCCGACAGTGGGAACAGAGTGTTAAGAAAATTGTCCCCCCACTTAGGCCTCTGGCTGAAAGCTGGCATTGGGTTGTAATCATTCTGAGCCAGCTATTCTACCTAGGCTTTCTGTCTTGAAGGCCAGGGATGAGGCCAGAAAATTGAGAAGTCCTTTCAGCTCAGGGAAAGCACATAGGCAAAAGTACCAGAAGATTCTAATTTTGTAACATTTTTGGTTGAGGAAACTCACCCCAGTTACTATGCTTATTACTACATAGCAAGCCTATACTGGTAGTTTGGAGTCAGTCTTTCTCACTGCACTGCTTTGCAGCACCTGGGATGCTGTGACTTCCTTGTTATGAGCCAGTGTGTTCTGGTGGTTAAGAGCGGTAGTCTTGTAATCTGGTGAACCGGGTTTGTGTCTCCTTTCCTCCACATGCAGCTGCTGGGTGACCTTGGGCTAGTCACACTTCTTCAAAGTCTCTCAGCCTCACTCATCTCACAGAGTGTTGTGGGGGAGGAAGGGAAAAGGAGATTGTTGGCCGCTTTGAGACTCCTTAGGGTAGTGATAAAGTGGGATATCAAATCCAAATTCTTCATCTTCTTCTATGGAATTTAACCTGTAGATTCAATGTTCAATGCTATGTATATCATAGACAGAATCACAGGACTGTAGAGTTGAAATGAACCCCAGGGATCATTTATTCCAACTCCCTACAATGCAGGAATCTCTACTAAAACTGCCACGATAGATTTTCTTAGATTTTCTATCATTGGGGCCAGGGATGAGGCCTGAAAATTCATTGTAGGTTTATGGGCCATATTGTCCCTCTGTAGACTGCAGAGCCACTGTTCAATAGAGAGTGCTTTGGTCCAACTGCCTGCAATGCAGGGATCTCAACTTAAGTATTCATGGCAGATGGATAAGTTAGCTTTGTTAGTTTACTCTGGTTTGTACATTTTCAAACGGTTTTTCTCATTGTAGTTTTATGGGCCATTTTGTCCCATTTTAGACTGCAATCGCTTCTTTCTGAATAAACCTACTTCACGTCAAATTTGTGTGTGTTGATTTGGGTACAGCCTTGATACTAAATCCAGTTCTTGCTTGCTATTGAGTAAGGTTGCAACTGTGAGGATCAGAGAGCAGAGATCCCTGTTTTCAGTTATTGCTCTTCAAGATTTTTAATGTCCCACGTTGTGTACCCTATGCAGCCTTGTGTCTAGAGGGAGGTCAACACAAGGTAGAGACTGTCGCCTGGGCATCTTCTATGCTGGTTAAACATCTGCCTTACATCAGATAAAGATCCTCTCCTCAGCAAAATTTTGTTAGACCCCTTTCTTTCCCCAGGGCTACAACAGTTTAACAAGAAGGTACAGCAACTCGGGCTGTCAGTGGAACTTTTGCGATCAATGTTCGTACCATCTGCCAAGGCTATAATAAAAACTAGGTTGTGGGATATTGAATGCCAGGAACTAACAGTAGCAGCAGAGAAAACATGTTCTCCTCTTTATTTTCAACTTTCTTGGGCACATGAAGCTAACCACAATTACCTTGAATTTCTGTTTAATCCTCAACAAAGAAGAGCATTTTCACTGGCCAGGTTTAATTCAAATCCATCAAACCTCCTTTGGGGAAGGTTCTCAGGCAGGGTGGAAGGAGAAAGAACTTGCCCATGTGAAGACCACCTGGTGGAAACCCTTACACACATGGTTCTTAATTGTAAACTATATGCTGATCTCCGTCAGCAATTTCTAGATCAACTCTGCATCCCCAAATGGAAACCAGAGTTGGAGGTCATACATTTTCTATTACTGGGGAATGATCAGGAGCTCACCAAGTTAGTGGCTAAATATCTATATTTGGATTATTGTCGTCAAAATACACTGCAGACGTCTGATCTCCCTGGAGACCGAGAGATGTGACAATAGACTGCTCTGCCTCCTTTCTTTTAGCAAATGTTTTGTGCCACTGGGGAAGTGGTAACTCTGTATTGATTTGCTTTGGATGTTTATATGTGATGCCAATAAAAGGTTTGATGATGATGACAGAAAGAATGGGGGGCGCGGTGTAGCTGGCAGGGTTGGGGTGTTAGACCCAGCTGCAACACAAGGATCTGGACCCTTGAGTCTGGGGGACCCGTCTTTCACACAGATCACTGCCTCTGTTTTTATTTGGAATTTGTGCGGAATCCTGCATAATCAGAAAGAGGGCAGACATTCTCTGCTTTCCCAGGGATACGGCTAAATGACAGCTGATGTTAGAAGAAACTTCTCAGCTGCCAAAACTAGACACAGGGTTGTGACCAGGTCATGATGACGGTTTCCACCTTGTTCTATTAAGACTCCAAACTAATGGAAGCAATTTGATGGAAATCTTTTCCTGGATCACTGTACCTCCCAAAGTGCTCTACTCTTACTCAATTTCAGCAAATTGCTGGGACAAAGGTAATGAGAAGTTGGGCTACCTGATTTCTGTTTTTAATTCAGAAACAAGTTGCAACTTCACAAAGATGAGGGGAAGATTTATTTGAAATGTCAACAGGGTGCATTTTATTCATCTAGGGTGGTTCCATGTAGCCGGGTGTTCAATGGCTTTGGGTGAATCTTGAATCAAAAGCTGAAACCTTTGAAGCTGGGAATATGGTAGATCAGGAGTTCCCAAACTGCAGCCTCCAGACCACTGGTGCTCCATGGGATTCATTCAGGCTGTCGGTGGGGTTCAGTAGAGAACTAGACTTGGAGCCAACAGCCATTCAAAGAGCTCTGTCAATAAATAGGACCAATGACCACCGTTAGCTGGAATCAGCAGCAGCACATTCTGAATCGTATTTCAAAGCATCCCCTATAGAGCCGGTTGGAGTACTCCCACAGGGAAGCTAATACAGTAGGGTGTTCTCTGGAGTCAGCTGTAATGTGCCATAACCAGTACTTCTCGCATGTCTACTGTGAAAAATGTGTGCTGTCAGATCCAGGATCAGTTTTTGGCCTCACTCAAATCCCACTGTCTTTCTCAGAACTTGCCTTATGGTCCTGTCTAGATAAGTAGACAAGAGCCTTTCTTTCCCAGGGACCTTGCCAAAGGTTAATGGATGTTTGGAGATAATTCTCATCTGGCAGAACTAGAAGGGGTGGGGACAGGTGTCTGGAATATAATGATGATGGTCATCCACCTCTTTTTCTGGGACTGCAAGATCACTGGCGTTGTTTCATGAAACGTTTGTTCTGCAACACTGTTCCAACTTGCCTATTCCATTGCTACACAATTTCACCAGGTTGCTGGGAAGAGTTCATTATGCTTTTGGTCATCTGATTGCATTTTAGGGGAAATGTTGCAAACTACCGAAGATGAAGAAAATGTTTCTCTCTGTAACAGAGTAATGTTACAGTATGTAACTGATTGCTCATCTGCTCTGCCCAACAGTTTTTGTGGGATCTTTCCAGTGTTCTCTGGAGTCGGCTCTACTGTGCCATAACCAGTACTTCTCGCATGTCTACTGTGAAAAATGTGTGCTGTCAGATCCAGGATCAGTTTCAGGCCTCACTCAAATCCCACTGTCTTTCTCAGAACTTGCCGTAGGGTCCAGTCTAGATAAGTAGACCAGAGCCTTTCTTTCGTTTCCCAGGGACCTTGCTGTAGGGATCAGATGGGATTACCATGAGGAATTATAAAATATAACATCAAGCCATCGTGTCCACGATGAAAGCATTGTGTTGACTGGGTTTGATATATTGACGATAATTTCTGATTAAATCCCATAAGATTCTACATTCATGCCCTTTTCATGCCCTTTTGTCTCTGCTGCCCATTTCTCCTTGCTCTTCACAAATTACGTACACACTTAGACAGGCAGGTGTCCTGTGTCCTGAAAGACTGGGCAGTTTTGTTTTTGTAGTTTTCTGATATTAATCTTAGGATGTTAATCTTAGGGCCAGGAAACAGGTTTCACATTAAGGTGACAATGGTCACTGTCCTCCTGGCCATCCTTCTTATCATGTGTACTGATTGTTTATGACCTCCGGGGTTGCTGTATTCGCTCCTTTGTAGTTTTTCATTCATTTACTCCAGAGTATGTATGCTTAACTAGTGTTTATAGTTTAACTTTGTCCCCACGTGGGTTTGTTGAAATGTTCAAAAGAAATCTGATTGGTTCTTACGAACACTCTGTAAAAGCTCTTTTGTGAATAAAACTACCTGGGCCAGGGGCTGCACACAGACAAGCACAGAGAGACACAATTATACGCTCCCTTCCCAGAGTCTTGCTGGTTCAAGCCTCTGTGTGTATTCTTATTCATCAGAGTTCAATCCTTCCTTTACTTTGCAAACGCAACATAGTGGTGCCCCGTGTGAGGCAAAGCTAAAAAGAAACGTTTGAGGCTTGTAAAAAAAAACCTCAGCGTGTGAGGCAAAGCTAAAGGAAACCTCAACAAAAGGAAACCCCCAGGATTGGACTCCCCTCGGAGCTAGCAACCTGCTATCCCTCAGTCACGGTGGATCATCTCCTGCAAAACAATTCCCGGACTTAGGATCTCATTCGCTCGGAACGAGCCCCAAAGACGCACATCTATTACCCTTCAGGTGAGATCATGGGAAGCAAGCTTTCACATGAGCAGGAAAAGCATAGGAATAATTTGTTATTTTTGCTAGCTCAGGCAGGGCATGATAAGCATTTAGCACCCCTAGTAGAAAATTTGTTGTTAGAAATTGCTAGACTGTGCCCCTGGTTTCCAGAGGGGGGTACTTATGATATTAAGAAATGGAATGAGCTGGGAGATGCACTCCATAGACATCCTGAGGCATCTGTACAAGTCTTGCACACCTGGCATTTGTGTAGAGATGCAGTTGGAAAGCTCTCTAACCCTTTACTGTAACCACCAGCTGTCTCTATGAATGTTCCCATATTGTTGCAACCCCTAGCTGCTTTTAAAAATACCATAATATTGTTACCTCCATCTCAGCCTCTAGATTTCCAGCCTCTCTCCTCTGAGGCCATGCCAAAGGTAATTCCATTGGCACCTTCCTTTGCCAAAAATTTGCCTGGGTCGAATGTAAATTCCATGCCACCTTCGGTGGACCAATGCCTGCAAGGGGCTCAGATCACAATGCAAAAATTGGTTATTCCAAATATGGCAGAAGGAAGCAGTGAAGAAAAAACAGCTGACACCTTACCATTATTAGCAGTCTGTCCTGTTGTTCAGAATGCACAGGAACAGAGAGCCCATGTATCATTCCCCTTCGCAGTTTTTAAACAATTGAAGCGAAGTGTGACAGAAAATGGCTTGCATGGCATTCTTGATGGGCTAAGAGGAGCCAGTACTTTAATTCCAAACCTTGAAGCCTCTGAAGTCTTAATGAAACAATGAAAATGAAAATGAAAATTCTGATTGCAAGACTGCTGTTAAAGCGATGTATCAGAAGCCAGAAACAGAGATTGCTCAAATGATTAAGCCTTGCCAGAATATTGACACCGAGACTCACAAATCTGCCCTCCTAGCAGCAGCTTTGTCTCCTTCAGTGCATCCTGCTAAAGACAGGCAATGCCACAACGGATGGCCTTCCAGCCTGGGTTTGAATGGGAGAACAAAGACTGTTGTGCCAGCTGATTGTCCGTCTTTTACTGAAGCTAAATTAGAAGCAATAGCTGGCTCTTCTAACACAGTAGCTTTTAACACACAGTCTCCTGTGACAAATCTGCGCCATGCCGCTAAGGGCAGTGCTGGTTTGAATCTAATGGCAGCAGAACTTGCTACTTTTCAGTTCCAGTTCCCTATGGTGGAAATTAAGACGTAGCATACAGGTCTGATTCCACCTCAGACAGTGAGACTCATTCTTCATCGCCTATTGCGGACTGTTTTTTCTCCTTTCCTCCCTAAGCTTAAAATTCCTAATGAATTTACTTTACAGCAGTTGCAGAGTTTTGGAGTCACTTCATATGCATGATTCTCCTTAATACAATGTTTTCACCTACAGGACTACTTTTTCCCCAGACACTGCTGACAGAATAGTGATTTTTAGAGTGGCTACACTCTGATTTGCCTAACACTGGATTTGATATTGCTGCTTGTTATTTGCTTTTTTTCTAAAACAGGAGCATGAGTCTTTAATGAGTTCTTCTCTTTTCTATCTGTTTGCATTTACTGATTATATTGGGATAGTTTATTTTAACCCTCCTAAAGATTCACGCCTAGTTTTAATTCAACAGATACCCTGAAATTTGGTTTCTGTCCAAAAACAGGTTCCTATTCAACACTCTAGAGTGTTTTAACGTATAAGGATTCTGAAAATAACTGGCATTTATTTTTTTGCGGCTAATCAGGAAACTAACATACACTTCCACTGCATTTTGTGATTTTGTGTGAAGTTTGTGTGAAGTTTATCACATTTGGCTAATTTCTATCTTTCTCCTATGCTAGATTTTAATCTATTCTCTTTGTTCTTGACACTGAAATCTCTCTTAACAAATAGAATTGCGCCTTTCTATGCTGCTCATGTTTGCTCTCACGTTTGCTCCCATACAGGATTCAAAGATATAATTTCAGAAGGAAATCAACATGCTGATTCTGCTCTGAAATCATTCTGTCCATTATTTTCTAATGCAATTGATACCCATGCATTTTTTCATCAGGGAATTATGCAGCTGATTTTAAACTATTTTTTCCCCTCTGACACAAGCTAAGGATATCGTTGATGGATGTCCTTCATGCACTTTAACTTCTGTTAACTTTAAAGGTAAAGGTAAAGGTACCCCTGCCCATACGGGCCAGTCTTGACAGACTCTAGGGTTGTGCGCTCATTTCACTCTATAGGCCGGGAGCCAGCGCTGTCCGCAGACACTTCCGGGTCACGTGGCCAGCGTGACAAGCTGCATCTGGCGAGTCAGCGCAGCACACGGAACGCCGTTTACCTTCCCGCTGGTAAGCGGTCCCTATTTATCTACTTGGACCCGGGGGTGCTTTCGAACTGCTAGGTTGGCAGGCGCTGGGACCGAGCGACGGGAGCGCACCCCGCCGCAGGGATTCGAACCTCCGACCATGCGATCAGCAAGTCCTAGGTGCTGAGGTTTTACCCACAGTGCCACCCGCATCCCCTGTTAACTTTACCTTAAATCAATTAACTGTTTTCTTTCCCAGAGTCTTGCTGCTTCAAGCCTCTGTATGTATTCTTATTAATCAGAGTTCAATCCTTCCTTTACTTTACTTTGCGAATGCAACACCTTGCCAAAGGTTAATGGATGTTTGGAGAGAATTCTCATCTGGCAGAACTAGAAGGGGTGGGGACAGGTGTCTGGAATATAATGATCATGGTCATCAGCCTCTTTTTCTGGGACTGCAAGATCACTGGTGTGATGAAACGTTTGTTCCGCGACACTGTTCCAACCTGCCTGTTCTATTGCTACCCAATTTCACCAGCTTGCTGAGAAGAGTTCATTATGCTTTTGGTCATCTGATTACATTTTAGGGAAATGTTGCAAACTACCAAAGATGAAGAAAATGTTTCTCTCTGCAACAGAGTAATGTTACAGCATGTAACTGATTGCTCATCTGCTCAGCCCAACAGTCTTTGTGGGATATTGCTATATGCCAGATTAAGACCTCATTCAGCCAGAATTTTATACATTGACAAGGGTGCTGGTGTTGCGTTTATTACTGAGATGTTGGTGGGTGATCGACATAATACATTTCCTGGAAAAACTGAAATATAAATTTTGTTGCTCCTTTAAACTTTATCTTTTAGGCCTTTCATTCTTTTTGCTGGAATATTAGCAAATATTTTATAATCACAATTTAGTAATGAAATTGGTCTACAATTTTTAAGCTCCAATCTATCTGCATCTTGTTTTGGAGTTAAAATAATATATGCCTCTTCCCAGGTCTTTCCCCAGGTCTTTCACCTATTGTGAATATTTCAGTAATCACATTTTGTAATGGTTGAATTATATAATTTTATTAATCAAATCAAATAATCAAAACTAATAGTTTTCCTTTTGTTTAATTGCCATGCTAATAGCTTCCCTGGCTTATTAGCATGCTAAAAGTTTTTCTGCTTCAATATTTTTATTTTCATTCCATTTCTTGATTAATTATCCTTGAATACTGTGATTGTAATATTTTAACTGCATGTTTAGTCATTTCCTTTTCTGGATTATTTACTAACTCTTTTTCTTTTTTGATTAACTCATCCAAAATCTCTTTTTTCTTCTGCTCTCTAGCCTTCTTTTGGTAAGCATTTTGGCTTATATAAAAGCCTCTAATCACTGATTTGCTTTCATCCCATACGACATTATTATCTGTACCTTAATTGTTATTTAATTCAAAATAATCTTTTGTGATTTATTTTCAGCCTTCACCACTATTTCCTGATTATCTAATAAATCTTTGTTTAATTTCCACCTTCTTGGTGTGTTTCTTTCACCATTTGTTTGTATCAGAACTGCGTTATGATCCAAAGGGTTCCTTGTTAATATATCTGCTGTCTTTACCACTAAAGAAATTTCTTTGGAAAGCCAAACAGAGTCTGTCCGGCTGCTCGACTGGTGTACATCTTAGAAGAATGTGTATTCTCAATCCAATGGGTGTTTATATCTTCAAGCATCAATTAAGCTTAGATTTTCCATCATATCAAAGAAGGTTAATGGTAATTTCCCTTCTTCCAATTCCAATTTCCTTATTGTTCTATCCATTTCCAAAGAGAATACCCCATTCATATCTCCTAATAAAATTACTGTTTGATCCATGTATTCCATTAGGTTAATTTCTAGATCTTTAAAGAATTCCAACTTCTTTTCATTGGGAGCATATAAACAAATTATATCTAAATTTTGTTTCAATATTATGGGCACTATTTTGTTTCTTTTAACTTGACTGTTTATTCCGTTAACATTCCAGCTTAATAATCTCATGTCAGCCATTTTGCTTATGTTATTAGAGTCTTGTCCTGTCTTTTTTACCTTTTTGCTTTTTCTTATTTTACTCTTTCTCCTCCTCTTGACTATCTACACTCTCCTCAGGTTTTCCTGGGTCCTGTCCTCCAACTGCACCCTCCAAAGAGGGATCCGTTCCTCCAAAATCCTTATAGTTTTTCCTCCAAAACATTTCTACCTCCTCTGATTCTCTGATTCTATGCTTTTTATCTTTATATGTGAAGGAGATGCCTTCAGGATACTGCCAGCAATACCTAATAACATTTATTTTTAGAGTGTCTACAATGTCCTTGTATGGGGCCCTTTTTCGAGAAGACGGGGAGGGGGATTTCCTTATGTCCATAAAGGCACTGCACAAAAGTCTCAAGTTCAAGTCAAGTTCAAGTTCAGATCCAAAATCAATACAAATTGGAAACCTTTCCCTTGTTTTAGGGCAGGTTCAAGTTCAAGATTGAGTTTCAGTAGCAAAGTACTGTTTTATTCTTAATTCTCCATTAGTTGGTTTAAGTCTCAAAAACGTCCCCCCAGCACTTCACTTGTAATGTCCGTCATGCAGGGTAGACACCCAAAAAGTGGAGCAGACTTCCTTTTTAGCCTCCCACCTTGCTGGAATTAAATTACTCAAATTAAACCGATTATCCTCCTCACCTTTCAATCAGCTCAGTATGCTGGAAAACTAACCACTCACGGCCAGATCAGAGGCTTTGGTCTATGGAGCTACGATGGTGCCTAGTTCATTGGCACTTTGCATGTCTTCCCCCCTCTCTCTGCACCTTTCATGACGGAAGCAGAGACCGGCAAGTCAGGAAACCAAGGCAGCCCAATACTCCGCTTGGGGCTTTTGGGGGAGGTGCGTTGCCCTTGTGCTGTTCCCTGGATGCTCCATAAAGCTGAATCTGACCGAGCTGTCAGATTCACGGTCTATCCGCCATGTCACGAGAAATAATTCACCTAGATCAATCAAGATTTCTCATGTGTCACCATATTTTAATACTTTGTTGGAAGCCTCCCAGAGTGGCTGGGGAGGCCTGGCCAGATGGGCAGGGTATAAATAAATTGCTGTTGTTATTGTTGTGCAGGGTATAAACAAATTGTTGCTGTTGTTGAGAAATAGAAACTATTTATTCAAGGCAGAAAGAGAGGTTGATTATTAATAATATCACCATTGAAGAAGGTAATATTATGAAAGGAACAAGGGAGGGTTGCCCCCTCTCTGTTGTTTATATTAGTGTTAGAAGTCAAGATGTGTAATATAAGAGCAGATGAAAATATTAGAGGAGTTAAGGTGGGAAATAAGGAATTTAAGTTGAAAGCATTCACTGATGATTTAGTAATTAAGGTAGAAGATCCATTTAGATCAGTTCAGCAGGTCATACAGAAGATACAAGCGTTTGGACGAGTCTCTGGTTTCAAAATTAATAAAAATAAGACTAAATTATTAGTTAAAAATACATCAGAACATGATAAAGAAAAGAGTCAACAAGAAACAGGTATAAACATCCATAATAAAGTGAAATATTAATATCTATAAGAACAACTATGAAAAAGCATGGGAGGAAATAAAAAGGAAACTGGAGATTTTGAAAAGAATGAATCTGTCTCTGTATTTAAGAAGAACATATTGCTAAAAATGTGATTTTTGTTTGATCAATGCGGGTAATAAGCAATATGGGATGCTTCAAAGATTGACAAAAAGCTATTTCAAAATTTGTGTGGCAGGACAAGAAGCCAAGAATAAAATATAAATTACTAACAGACATCAAAGGTAGAGGAGGCTTCTCCCTGCCAGATCTGAAACTATATTATGAAGCCTCCTGTATCTGCTGGACCAGGGAATGGATTAAAAAAACACACAAATTTATTAGTTTTGGAAGGTAATTCTAATAGATTTGGTTGGCATGCGCATGAAGAGGCAAGAGTATCTCAAAGTTTCTGAAATCATATCATAAGGAAAGTGATTTTTAAAGTATGGGAGAAGTATAAAGTATTACTGGAACAAAAAACACCATGGTGACTCTCCCCACTAGAGGCAATATCGGGGGGGGGGATAAACATGGAAACTCGGGGCAACATACAGAGAGCTGCTAACTGAAATAGAAAACCAATTAAAACTGAAATATTTTAATGAAGTTAGAGAAAACGTAACAGACTGGTTACAATATTTTCAGTTAAATGAAATGTTTAAGAATGATTAAAAGATAGGATTTGCGTGTGAAATGTCAACTTTTCAGAGAGAAATGATGGAAAATCATATGAAACAAATATCTAAAATATACAATCTGTTGCTGGAATGGAAATGAAGGATGAAGAGGTTAAATCAGTTATGATTACATGGGCATGAGATTGGGACATAATATTCAATTAGTGGAATGGGAAAAATTATGGAAGAATGATTAAAAACTTACAGCATATGTGGCAAGGAAAGAAAATTATATGAAAATGATGTATAGATGGTATCTAACACCAGATAAATCAGCAAAAATGTATAAAACTAAGTGTTGGAAGTGTAAAGCAACAGAGGGGAATTTTTTCCATATGTGGTGGGATTGTAAAAATTATAAAGAAATATTGGGAAATGATTTATAATGAAATGAAGAAAATGTTTAAAATAATGTTTTAGAAGCTTTCCTATTAGGTATTACAGGAGTGGATTTACCAAAATGACAAAAGAGTTTGTTTATGTAGCACAACATTGGAAAGAAGAATGTGTCACATCTAACAAAGATTGGCAAGTTAAACTGATGGAATATGCTGAAGTGGCAAAATTGACGATGAAACTGAGAGGAAGAGATGACAATGAATTCAAGAAAGAATGGAATATGTTTATTGCATCTATACAGAAGCAATGTACATTAATGTTAATACATTAGTAGGGTTTTAAGATTACTTGTAATTCCATCCTGAGTGGATTGTAGGTGATTTACGTATGATATAAATATAACAATGGACATGCAGTAAGTTGATAAACAATAGAACCAAGGAAGGGATTAGAGGGAAGTCAAGTGATTTGAGGAAGCCCACAAATGTTTTGTTTTTGTTTTTTGCTTTTAAAAATATCTTAGTTCTGTGAATGTATATGTTTTTGTTTTGTTTTTTGAAAATCAATAATATGTTTAAGAAAAATAAATAAACTTTATCTTTTAACCTATCAATGTTTTATATTGGGCCGTCCTCATTAACAGTAAAGTTCATGAAGAACTCGGATCTCCAGGAAGCAAAGGGACCTTTCCCATGACTGAAAGCAAAATAACAAGAACAAAACCAACTAAATATGTATACCCCACCCTTCCAGTTGGGTTGCCCCAGTAACTCTCGGTGGCTTCCAACAAAATACAAAAACACAGGAAACCATCAAACATTAAAAGCTTCTCTATGCAGGACTGCCTTCAAGTGTCTTCTGGAAGTTGAGTAGTTGTTTATTTCTTTGACATCTGATGGAAGGCATTCCACAGGGCAGTTGCAACAACTGAGAAGATCCTCTGACTGGTGCCCTATAACTTCACTCTCTTCCTACTTCACTACCCTCGGAGGTAGACCTCAGTGTCTGGGCTGGACGATGGGGGCAGAGATGCTCCCTCAGGCATACTGTGGTTTAAAAGCCTAACACAAAGATGGACTTGCAACTTCAAAAGGGATTAATTAAAAAGCTTAACACACTTATTTACAACACCAGTCCAATTGAGCTTATGTAACTGCCAATCTTTTAAGATCTCATTCAGCCATGTTTTGATACATTGTCTAGGGTGCTGATGTGGCATTTATTACTGAGACCTTGGTAGGTAATTTACAAAATACATTTCCAGGAAAAACTGAAATATTGAGTTAATCTTTTGAAAACCGCAAAAACTCCAGCCTCCAGCCCAGGCAGTTGTTAGGGGACTGTGCTGCAAATGAGGAACAATCAAAGGAGAAGCAGGCCGGGTCCATGCCCACTTTGCCCAGTGCCTGCCAAGAGTTAGGCCCGAAGATGGACATCCTTGTCTTGATGTGGAGCTCCAGGACTGCAGCCATGCCCTTCACCCTTGGAGCCTCTCCCCACCCAACTCCACAACAACCCCCCTTGGAGGCCCCTTTTTTCTGGCCAGCCTGGCTCCTCCCCAACTATCAGAGGTGTCAGCTTGTGAAGGTGACTGGCAGAGGATGTCGGCAGAAGCTGGGGGCAAAGCCAAACCTGGTGGCTTCAATGGTTGGTTGCTCCTCCTTCGCTTCCTCTTGGAGCTGCCACTGGCAGGAGGCTGCTCCAACCCTCCTTCCCCTCTGCGACAGGCCAGTGGAGCTGCCCCTGCACTTTTTGGACATTTGGGAACAGCTCCCACCCCACTCTGGAGTCTTCTTTGCATATGTGGATGCAATAAAACATATATTTTAACAGAAAATATGAAACCAATTGACCCTATGGTAAAAGGCTTTTTAAAGCAATATTTCATTTATCATTTTTTTCAAACAAATATGCAAATTCATTAAAAAATATTAAATCAATTTCCCTTCTCCCCATCTGTGGTTCCTGAATTTTTCTTCTCCCTGGTTCCTTATTCTTTGCATAAGTTTACCCATCTCCGCATTCTCCATCAATTTCATCTGCCAGGCCTCATTGGTTGCAACTCTTTGTCATCCTTGTGCATAAATCATCTGGGCAGCCAAATGTTTCTGATCATTTGGTACCTCTGAACCTATTATTCCTCAAAGAAAAGCTTCAATGTTATCTTTAACACACACACCCAGTTTATTCTACAGTAAATCATTCCCCAGAAAGTTTTCACTACGTTACATGACCACTAGGACTGTGTAATAAATTGCCATATTGCATGTTTGACCAAACTGCAGGAGGCACTGGAAGTGCCTGGCATGCTCTGGCCCATGGCATCACAAAGAGTCAGACAGGACTAAACGACTAAACAACAACAACAACAACAACAATGGAAATAATATCTTGACAAGGGTGTCATCAAAGCAATATACTGATGAACAAAAGGCGGAGACTTGACAGCTTCCCAGGGGGTAGCTCAGCTAAACTGTTACTTTACAGTATCAGGTGCTACTGGACACTTTTATTATTTTATATATATATTTCAGCTACTTCACAGATATTTACAGATAATTTGCAGGCACCATGTCTCCTGCTTTCTTTGCTCTCTCCCTCCTTCCTCCTAATCTATAAGAAATGATGATAAGCCCTCACACAAACCAACAAACTTTCTCACCTTCACAAATGTCCTACCACTTAGAGCTCAACTCATTATGCACAGCCTGCTAACAATCCACCCACCCCCGCCCCACGGCTAGTCAATCAAAGACCCAGTGGCAAAGTAAACAAAGAACTGGAAAGCACTTCTTTCTTCCCTCACATTCACCCCAACGGGGGGGGGGGGGGGAGAAGGGAAATAATTGTTTTATTTTTTTTTATTTTCTGGTAGTGATTATGTTGTTGGCTCCCCCTAAATAGCTTTCCTCCATATTAAAAAGAAAGGGCTTTATTTACGGTAATTTTAAGGAGACTATCTTCTTGCTTGCTTGACCTCCTTCCGTCCCTTTGATAAAAAGGGGGAGATTGGTGGGATGAGGGCTTGGGAGGGGGCTTCTGTGGGGGGGTGGAGGAGAGAAGATTTAGCTGGCTGCCTTATTCTGAAATGGGAGGTGGCATACTATGTGAAAATGACGGGAATGGTTTCCCCTGGTAAGCATTGCAAGCAAATGTGTGTCTACTCACAAGCAAGCCCTACTGAATTCAATGAGGCTTCCTCCCAGAAAAGTAGAAGTAAGTTTAGTTGAACTCAGTGGGGCTTATGCATGCACAGATTCCACTTAGACCTCTGAGTGGGGAAGCAGATGCAACTTGACTAGAAAATCACTTAAGCTAATCTGAAATTAGTTGAAAATATGCAGCGGGGAGGAACAGCAAGGCCTCGATATATATCAAGATATTGTGATGTTTAGCTGGTGATATATTGTGATGCTGAAAACCAGATATCGCCCAGCACTAGTACCCTCTTTTCCTTAACAATTCCAGCATGTTTCTGATGCAGATTTATCCTTCCTGGCCAGTTTACTAGGAGTCAAGCCCCACCTGTACATCATTTTCATATAATTCTCTTTTAATGTATATAGAATCATAGAATCATAGAGTTGGAAGAGACCACAAGGGCCATCGAGTCCAACCCCCTGCCGAGCAGGAAACACCATCAGAGCACTCCTGACATCATATCATACTGTAAATTTCAAATCTGTATTCCACAATTTCTCCCATGCTGCCATTTCTATATTATGACCTATATCCCATTGCTGATTTTACTAGTCCGTCTTTTGTTTGCTATTTCAATAACAATTTATACATTTGGGAAATTACTTTTTCATTTTTCTCGATAAGTTCTCTTTCAAAAGGTGAGGTTCATAAATCTTTTCCTTTTATCTAATTCAAATAACTCATAAAGTTGATAATATTGTAACCATTCTGTTACTGCTTCTCCAACATCACTACTCATATTTCAGAACTAGGAGCTGCTTATTTTTCTGCTTGTTCTGACCAAGCAGTGGCAGAACCAATGCTGGGTGGAATAGTTTAGCTCACATTACAGATTCTGTGGTTACATGAAATGGTATGGTCAATTATTTGTTTCATTATTATACTTTTTCTGCCAGGAGGATGGGGACATTGTGAAATCAGATGTAACTTAGATTTGCCATATGTCTGGGAAATCCAGGATATACCCTCTTTTGGGGGCAAACCAGGCCATCCAGGGTATTTTTATTTTTATTTTAAACCAAAGTCTGGGGTTTAAATTTTTTAAATTATTATTGTTGTTGTTTAAGTTGTGCACTGGCGACTTGGGTTCAACCTCAAGCTCTTGCATGGGCTCGGGCATCTGGGGGATGCAAAAACAGCTCAATAACTTTGCAGCTCAACAACTGTCCAGATTTTTCCTTCTAAAAATATGGCAATCCTATGGCCAGATCATGGTTTTCAGTTTCCTTCTCCTTCTTGGCCTTCAGGAACTAACATTCATTGCACCATCATTGCATATGTGATAAGAATTTTAAGGTCTTTTGTATATATAATAAATGTTCATAACTGACACATATATAAAGATATTGACTACTGTACATGTCTGGGAACTGCAGGAGAGCAGTCCTAAAGCCATTTTTGCTCTTTCAGTCACCTCAAATATTTCTCTGCAAGGAGGAAGTAAATGGAGAAGCCTCCCCAATGTCTCCTTGTTCACAAATCCTGTCTTAAGTGCACATTTAAGATATGAATAGGGTAGCCTGTGACCTGTGACCTGGATTCAGGGATTGAGTAGTTATCATAACAAAAGAGTGGCCAGGATGCACAGATAATCCAATCAGGTAACCTGGCAGACAGAAAAAAACAACTGAAGTGAAGGCATGAGACAGGTGTTGATCAGCAAGTGAGCAATGCAGGTGCACACTGATTGCCAAGCCTGCAGTAGCTCTTTTTATTGATACAGTGGTGCCCCGCAAGACGAATGCCTCGCAAGACGGAAAACTCGCTAGACGAAAGAGTTTTCCGTTTTGGAGGTGCCTCGCAAAACGAATCTGCTATGGGCTTGCTTCGCAAGACGAAAATGTCTTGCGAGTTCCTGGGGTTTTTTTTCCCTTTTCCCCCTCTTTTTCTAAGTCGCTAAGCCGCTTATCTGCTTATCCGATAAGCTGATAAGCTGCTAAAAGCTGCTAAAAGCCGCTAAAAGCTGCTAAAAGCCGCTAAAAGCCGCTAATAGCGCTAATAGCGCTAATCCGCTAATCCGTCAATGGGCTTGCTTCGCAAGACGAAAAAACCGCTAGACGAAGAGACTCCTAGAACGGATTCTTTTCGTCTTGCGAGGCACCACTGTACACACATGCAAACTTAAGCAGATACTTTTTGGGCTGTGACCTTTACAAATCTTCCAATCCCGCGATCGATGGGTGGCACAAAGTTATTTTGGCACTTGTTTCCACATGTCACTTTTCCCTTGCATAATGTTTTTCTAGAAAGAGACAAAGGTCTCAAAGGACAGAGGTTACAGACAGGGCACGGCAGGCTGCTGAGACCGCAAAAGAGGTTAGATACAGGCCACGATGTCCTCAGACATTTCCGTGAGGGGGAGAATGTTTCGCACCCCAGGGTCACGCGTGCAGGCAGACTGATGCTG